TAGTCCTTTCCCACGCATTATGCCTTTTGACTTTAACAAGGCAAGTAAGGATAAACAAAAGTGAAATGTTGTGTAGTCACATTTAAATCAAAATTTTTTTTTACAATTTTTACATTTCATGTAACTACACAACAATTCACTTTTGTTTATCAACACTAGTCTTGTTAAAGTTATATGACGATACACATCGACAAGGAGTAAGTACTAACTTCCGATTGTCTATTTTATTTAGTTTGTCTTCTCTACAGAATTATTTTGAGAACTTTATCTTAAATATATATATATATATATATATATATATATATATATATATATGGGACTTGTTCTCATCTTAGAAATTTCGCAATCTACATATTTCGTGTTTAGATAAAAGTCTAATGAAATTAACAAAAATGAATAGATTGGCTCCAAGAAGAAAAACGTTTACAGTATTTTAACAGGCGTGTTCAGTCATGACTTTGGAATTGTATTTGCTTTAAATCTCTTAAGAAGGTTTGTTATTTTTAGTTCTAAGCCATTTTTCATATAAAAGCTTCATTGTTTTCTAGAGAAAATCATGTATTTAAAATCCGACCTCCACTGAATTATGAATCAATTTTCATCCTGGGGCGATGCAGAAGCCGTTGCCTGCATTGGAAGGTTTGGAAATTCTCGACTTTCATTTGTCCACTGTAGTCTCTTTCAAAATTGACGAATGTACACTTTACTAAAAAAAATGTATCTGATGCTCTTCTACTGAGAATATGAACCGAATTCTCTCTGCATTTAATGACCAGTAAGATTCCGTTCTTATGTCAATAAATAGCTTCATTATATCGAATTTCTTCTAGTAATTTTAATACAATTTAACACAGATAATTTGACACAGATAAAACTCGGACAGTTATATTCCTGGCTTAAGACTGGATAAATAATAACCGTAAAGTTAGTAAATTAGATAGATACATGAGTAAACAGACTGTAATAGATAGATAGATACATGCATCCATAGAAAGTGATTAACAGATTAACAGACCGAGATAAATAGAAACGTTAAAATATTGCCAGTCAATGAGGAAATAGGATTAGTCAAATTGTGTTTCGCTATTATTAGCAGAAGTAATATTACTGCTGTGAAAATCAGCGTGAAATTAGGATTTTATCTGGGTTAGAACAATGGGCTCCGTTGCCTGTTGTATATAACTACTTGAATTACTAATGTATGGCAAATACGTGTAGATGTCCATGACACATGGCCAGTGGATAAAAGCGATGTTTGAAGTAATCCAGTGACTTGACCCACAGAGTTGTGAGTTCAATACCTGGCCACAGCAAAGGTGAATAAAAACATGGTGAGTTTAGTTACTAGAAGGGAAATAAATGAAACTGAAACTGAGATATCCCGAAGAGGTATGGCCCGTGGAATTAGAACAATCTACACGCCGGTGAACGAAATGAAGGATTCGGTTTGAAATTCAAATTATCTGAAGAAGGCCGGAGTGTAGAACGGTCGAAGGGTTATTTTATTGACGGCATAGTATAGTAAGATAAGTTTGCCATCATCTGTGAGAAAAAGAGCAGCATGATGCAATTCACTCTACTAGTAATTTGGAAACAACATACTGTACTACTTGGCGGAGGCTTCAATACACAGATTTCAGAGTGTTTGGATATCAATCGGAAATCACTGCAGAGGAATCGGAAAGAGTTGAATGATATATCCAGTTAACATCATGGTGTTTGGAGCGATCACTAGTGATGGCGACGTTATGCCTCCATTCATCTTCCCACAGAGCCTCAGACTCAACACGGAGGTTAACATCAAGTGCTTTAAGGAGCTAGTACTGACCTGGGTCAAGAGAGTGGCTGCTGAAGGACCCTATGTCTGGCAACATGACTTTACACCATGCCACACAAGCATAAGAACCTAGTCACAAGCAGTCAGACAATTTCTGCAAGCACCTCACCCCTTTCATCTGGACATCTATTAACTCCCCAAGACTGCAAACCCCCTTAATTATGATGGGTGGGTAGCAGTTGAGTGAGGGTTCAACAAAAATCCTCGTAACACAAAAGATGAACTGAAGACAAAGAATATGGCAGCATTCACCAACTAAAATCAGGAGAAGGTGCAGAAGAATTTCAGGAGATTCCGAGGTTGCCTGGATGCTGTGGTTGAAGCCAATGGCGATTTTATTAAATGAATTTACGCTTTACTATTTCAAGATATTCCTGTGAAGTTTCTTTAAATATGTCTGTTTAAATGAGATGTCAGTGTTATTTTTGAGTCATTTAGACGACGATCTATCACAGCCTGCAGATAACTATAAATTTCTCAATCTACCTAATTAACTGGTTGATTTATCGGCATATCTAAAAATCTCTCGATTTATATAGAATTTACTCTTCAATAATTTACTTTAATTTATCTATCTCTAATTAATCTGACTAATATCACATGGGTCTTATTCTTTTGTAAACCCTTTGAAATTGGATTTTTATACTTTCCTGCATTATCTTTTTTATATTTCCCCTTTCTTGTTTCATGTGAAATACTTACTCGAAGATTCAACCTAAATTTCCTTCATTACAATTTTCCACATCATTTCGAATTAATTTTCTTCTCCTGAAATTTCTGGGAGTCAAATTTTATGCCACTTAAATGGGGAAAATGCTGAAAGCCTTAATAAGAGATCAAAGACATTTTATCAAGTCTTGAAGTATTCTCTTTAATTTGATTTTATATTTCTTCGAGAATTTCCTCCTTTTTTCGATTGGGTGTGTGTACTAATATTTTGTATTTATTTAGTTTTACCTTTCTATTTTATTATTTTAAAAAGTATTTTCTCGTTTTCACTCAGCAATCTAAAGACTGAGATTTAAAAGACGTTAATCTTACATCTGACTTCGTTTAAATATTGTGAATACCTATATATATATCTAGCAGTTTAACTAGCTTTCTATCAATCTACATCACCACCTATCTTCCTGCATGCATGTATATATATATATATATATATATATATATATATATATATAATTTAAGACATTCATATTAGCTTATGTATTAGGTTACTAAAGAGTTAAGTAAAATTCTATATATGAGGTGTGATCAAAAACATCGGGACTGGTATTATGAAAAGAAAAGTATTACAACATATATCAATTCGGTATGGGCACTTCGATATCGTGTAATGGTTAGCAAGCTTGTCTTGTTAGATCTATTACGACTTCGTAGTGAGTTCAATCTTCACTGGATGCTGCACACGTTCGGCCTTGTGCCACAACTAAGCGTAATTAAAAAATCACATTTGGGCACTTCACCGCCGTGTAATTGTTAGCAAGCTTGTTTCGCTAAATAAATTACAATTTAGTGAGTTCGTTCCTCACTGGGTTCCCCATACTTTTGGCATTTTGCCATATATAAGCTGCGCTTAGAAAACTGCCATATAAATTCGGTATTTAATCTCTTTCTGAGAAATCCCCTTCTGAAAATCCATACAATTTACCCAGCGTTATTTCAATGAATTGAAGCATTCCTAAAACACTTTCTTTTAGGATGAACAGCAACCTTGTCCCATTCCCTTGGATGTCCTCGAAGCCCTGAAATCTAGTTGATTTCAAGCGCGATTTGATTTCTAAAGCGGGAAAAGTGGCAAGGGGAGAAATATGGAGATTAGAGTGGTTGTCAAAAATGGGGAATATTGCCAATGGCAAAAAAACTTTTGCAAAAGCCATTGTCACTGATGGAACCTCTGGGGTGTGGTGAGACAACCACACTCTACACACTTTCCTTCCACACACTGTTATAAACAAAGGAAATGAGCGGAAGTGATGTGCATGCGTGATAGATTTCAAGATCAATCTGTGGCAAGCAGTTTCACCGAGTATTTTAGCTCCGTTGCCACAGAAACATTTCCGATACATTTTGATTACACCGCGTACGTTTGTGGAATATTCCATGATTTATTCTCTGCTAAACTGATGAAGAAATGTATTTTAATATTAGACATGCACCACGAACTTTCAGTTTATGGTGAACGAACAAAATATTTAAATGGCTGAAATGAGCACATAATATTATCACTAGTACTAATAGTAATAGTACAATAACAATAAATAGTGAGCAATATAATATTTATTAAGTCATAACAGAAAACTGTTAAATGTTGCACGTTGTATTTCATTGGTGGAAAATAGATTGCCTATGGAAGATCACCTGTTCGCAAATCGCTTACCAAAATTTGGAACATGATCATCTATTTTGGAATCCTGCAAAAGCACTTGCCGACATTCTTGCCTAGTTATCTTTCGTTCTTTTTTTTCCAAAATTGAAAAGAAATAACAGATTCCTTACTTTTTCTTTCTCATATTCATTTATGATTTAATCTCTTCCTTCCTGCAAGATTCTCCTCCATCACCAATGCAGCAGTTGTCAATGCCTGACTTTGTTTTACAGATATTTCTCTCGCCTTGAGCTCAAAAGTCACGTTTCATCAACTCTGCAAATGATTCCTCGCACTTGCACATACTGACTAGTTACAAGAAACTTCAAGATTTATCAAAAGTACACATGAAACGTAAAACGTTTTAAAGCAATAATTGTGAACAAGAATTCTGTTTTACCGACGAAATTCTAAAAATGTTTTGGGGTTTTAGTTAATTTAAATGATTCTTTTAACAGTTTTTATATGTTTACGTCTAGAATCATAAAACATAATTTCTTTCCTCGCAGAAGTACGGTTGATGAAATGTGTGATAAATAAACGCAAAAAATGAGTCGTGTTTTACTGAACGTCAGATTTAGAAAGCTAATCAGCAAATATTGTATTTCTCATTCTATTCTCATAATATGTATAAGATTGACACGAGTGATAAAACCATTGTCTGAAGAATTTCCTTCTTTGAATGTTAAAATAAATTAGTTTATCCACAAACTCACCACACGCACATGCGCACACACGCACAGACACACGTACAGACACACGCACACATAGAGTCACAGACACATGCACAGACACGCACAAACATAGATAGATAGATAGATAGATAGATAGATAGATAGATAGATAGATGCACAGGTATATGCATACAGGTATAGAAAAAGTATTGTTTAAATATACTCTCTCTTTCTCTGTCTGTCTGTCTCTCTCTCTCTCTCTCTCTCTCTATATATATATATATATATATATATATATATATATATATATATATATATAAGGAACATTTAAGAGATATAAACATTAATATAGTGAAAACTTCATATTTGAAATACACCACATTTTACTATTGGCGGGTACATTCGAAAAATCTTAGTAACGAAAACGTGTTCCTCGGTATATAGAGTAAATTATCAGTCACATTTATGTTCGTGTGTGTGTGTGTGTGTGTGCGCGCGCGCGCGTTCTTTCCTTAAAAAGGAAAATAGAGCTTTAATTGTTTTGACGCTTTTCTAGCCGAGCAGTGAAGCAAGCCGTATCAAAAGGTAATTTTATTACCCGCACACATAAAATGTGTGTGTGACAGCAGAAGCTTCCGCTACGTCGTGATTGAAGAATTTTCTGTCTCTGTCTAAACGATTCTTCTTATATTGTACTTGCCTTTGCCCATCTTTATATCTATGTAAATGCATTCTTATGACAACATATTTTTATTTTATGTTAAATTTGAGAAATATAATTAAAAATTATGTACTGGAGAAGAGAATATTATTTGCTTTTTTTTCTTGTTGGACATAATTACACAAGAATATAAAACCTTCGACAAAAAAGCAAATTGAAACCTCCTTAATTTCAGTACAGTTCTTGATGCTATCAACAAGAAAGTTGTTAAGCAACAACACAAAAACAAACAAAAAAACCCGTAGCGACAAACAGTATGGCTTTTGCGATTTGGGTTTCACTGCTGATATATTAACTATTAGAATAAATAAAGTACTTGATAATAACATCTCGAGAGTAATCACTCTGGACATCGTGAAGGCCTGTGATGAGGTGTGGTACAAGGGATTACGACACAAATTTGCCAGCTATGGAATATCTGCAAGAGACCTCTCTGTTATCAAGTCCTTCTGGTCAGGTAGGTCTGTGAATGTCAGGGTTAATTGAAAATGAGATCAGCGCTGAAGTTTATCAAGGCCTTCTCCTCTGCCCTACAATCTTTCTGCTTTATATTAACAATCTGCCTAAGAACATTCTCAGATGTTTACTGAATGTATACGCAGACGACACCACGGCGGATGGGCTTATCTCCCTATATCTGGATGGCCAGTACCTGGCAATTGGTATGTCATTTGACATAACGTTCACAGTTGAATGGGAAAAGAATGGCTAACGTTTGTTGCAGACCCGGTAGGGTGCAGTGCTGGATTATACTGAGTGGCCTTGTGCCAGACACCACACTAAACTACCGAGTCTACAAGCAAAGTAAAAAAAAAAATAAAATGCGTGAATGAACAGTGAGAGGAAAGGGGTCAATCAACAAGTGCATAAAATAAAATATATTAAGATAGCCGAAATAAAAATGACAAAGACATCTGTTTATAAAACATGTGTAAACAAAACTTTAATTAAACAGTAACGAGTAACTCATCCCAAGGTAGGGATCAATGAAAAGTGTTCCGCGCCAAAATAGAAATACAAGATGGCCAAGGCGGGAAAAGAAAGTTTTACAGTTCCGGAAAAGAATGTGCGCACAGATAGAAAGGAGTACTCACTGTGGATATTTTAAGTTGTAAGTGATTATGCATATTTTTAATGTACAGGTTCAGAGTTATAAAGAATGTTCGGTAAACATTGAATTGACCGCTGGTAAATGCTCTGGACTGCTGTGGGGCATCTAGCCGGGAAAGACGAAGAATATTTGAAGAAAGTTTCCTTGTAGAATGGTTTACGGCGAGCCCAAAGAGAAAGACGAAAAATGTTTGTTCAAAGGTAATATTGTGTTGGCCGCTGGTAAATGTTCTGGACTGCTGTGTGGGGCATCTAGCCGATAGAAACTAAGCATGGTCTTGTAGAATGATTTACGGCGAGCCCAAAGAGAAAGACGAAAAATATTTGTTCAAAGGTAAACTATCCCTGCCTGTATTATTTGGTTCGAAGCCAGGGGTAAGTTTAAGTCACCTGTTGAACACGAAGTTTCTGCCGACGAGTGTCGTGTGTCTCTAAAAACGTCTTCTGGTAGAAAACGGAGAAAAAAGGTCCTGACCTGTGATTAGCAATTTGTTCGTTCAGTAGGACATCCCTGCCTATACTTATTAGGCCCCTGTCGAGGGATAAAAATACGCCATTAGTTGCATACGAACTTTTGCTCGCGACAGTGTCGCGTATCTCTAAAACATCTTCCAGTGGAAAACGGAGAAAAAGGTCCGACCTGTTGGCAGCTTCAAAAGGAGAAAAGTCTTGGTAGAGGGTGCAGTCGACATTGTTGAAAAATAAGATATTCCGGCCCGCATATGGATTAAGGGCACGGAATAAATGAGTTGCCCGTCTACTCAGGTTGAGGACCGGAAACAACTGGCTTGCAAACACTGGCCGTTTGAGACGCTGCGAAACGCGCGGGAAAAATTCAAAATCTATCATGAGTTAATCAGTAGCAGCTAAAAGGAGCTTACTGCTATGTTTAGCTGTGAGTGAAAAAGAGGGGTGAAAACACGCGCGCACACACGCACGAGTGTGAAAGGAAGGGAGGAAACTCGCGCGCGCGTAAAATTATAAATGGAATTAATGTTAATTCCATACGTTATTTAATACTTCCAACAGAAAATTAGTAACATTTCATAACCACCAAGCAGAGGATTAACTTGCACTAATCTTGATGAGTGGTCATAATCTCAATAAAGTTACTTAAGCCTACTGGGATTCCACTCTCGGTCTCAAATGGAAAAAATTGTACCACTGCTAAAGATGATAAAAGAATGGTCGATTTATTGAATCGCCCTTGAAAATGTCTAAAACCTTCAAGCATGCGGTATCCTTAAATGTCTCAGATTGTACCATGAATAGAGATGTCTTTTCTGTCCAAACTCGACAGAGTTCAAAAGCGATTACGCAGCCTTGTAAGCGGTTCATCATTCTCAAGATAGGAATGTTTTGCTATTACTATGGACGAGATATATTCGTTAGTACCATCAGCTCAGACCTTCAAAGGTAACATATACCATGCCATGTTCTTGGTGGCAAATCTACCTCATTCTATTCGCGTTTTTGATAAGGATTAATATCGTTTCAGACAGAATCTTCCCCAGAAATTTAACTTTGTGGAACTAACCCGCGACAGTATGCTTCCCTGAGAACTACAATATTGCGATCTCTGTCCTATACGTCCAAATAATATGCATTTTTTAATCCTTACTACTCACTACCTTATAACAATCTCGCTTAGTAAAACTTTACCTTGAGTGGCTCTTGGGCCTTGTATTTGGTGAGCTTGAAGTAGTAAACATCCTGGCATTTTTAGCAACACAGTTACAGATGTACTAAAACGATGGCGATCCTCTGCGTTGTACAATAAAGAAAATATTAATTATTGGAAACTCAGAATTATAAACAAATGGAGAGACAATTTTAAAAATATGTGGAATAACGCAGGTAAAAACGTACAATTCTTTCGACAATAATTTAATGATAACAATAATTAAAATATTCCTCGTTTAAAAATAATTTATCGAAATTTTCGTCTTTTATTCTTTGTATTTATTTTTATTTTATGTCAGTGAGTGCAAAGATATCATTTTTATATATCGATGAAATAGCCGAAATGAAGATTTCCAGGTAGAACAGACTCATTGCTTAATTGGTACAATTTATGCCATCCCCCATAACCCCTATGATTTGTAATATATATATATATATATATATATATATATATATATATATATATATATATATATATCAGTCAAGATATTTGTCTCGTTCGATGATAGTCAGCAAATTGTTCTAATATAATCAATACTTCATACATTAGTTTCTTTACGTTACTTTATTTTCATTTTTCATTCATTCATTTTAATTTTCTGACATTTCAAAAATTCTTCACTAATACATTCATTTTCTTTACAACTTTGTCTCTCATGATTTAAGAACGTTTATCTTACTTCAATTCCTGCATACTTTTCTAATTTTTATTACAGTTCTCTTGATATACTTGATTTTTTCTACACTGAATATTTTTATTTTGCTTCCTTATTAAGATGTCTTGGAAAGGGATATATTTGTTCTAAGTAGCCAAGTGGTTTGGACTGCTATAACGGAGTAGGACAATCTATCAGGTAACCGTAATGAATGGTCCTCGTCTTAGGGTTAGTCAATATGCGTAGGCAATAGGTGAAGACAATAGGCGTAGCAAATAGGCGTCGACCTCACTGTACCTCTATATCAGTCTGTATTTATGGCTAACACCAGCCAATCATATTACTGTGAGGGGGGACCCAGGTGTATGCATATTCATTACATCACATATATCTTATGAATTTTCGATAAACACTCCATTGCGGTCTTCCGTTTCAGTATGGGAATTTTGTCTTCAAGTCATTTAAAGGCTTTAGAATCTAAGGAGATATACGAAGCATTAGGAAATTTCTAATCTCAAAGATTGTGTAAATACAGTTTTCCTTTACATTTAGTAAGCAGCAGATCATGTGATTTTTAAGTTAATATTCACCTAGTACAAGACTACATGGCCCACAAGGTAGATGGTCTTGCTGTGGTATAAGAGAAGTCAAAAAGTGCATTTCCTTGTGCTAAATAGCAAATATAATTGTTAAAACTCGTGCTGAAGAGGTTAAGAAAGAACATCCTGCCAGAAAGCTGCTCCACAGATAAACAGTTCTTGTCCGGGTGAAATTTACTTCTTCTTACTCACTGGATGATGGTTGAGGATGATTCATCCATATGTAAGCGTAAAAGGGCAGAACCGGTGAAACCAAGGAATGTAACTCCTTGGAATAGGTACCATCAAAATAGCGATAGAATAGTGAGAGGCCTGCCTCATGTTTTCTGTAGGAAGGAGTTGTATGGTGGAAAATAATATGTCACCTCCAAGAAACTTTTAACCCTATCAAGACAAGTTATGAGTAGCCATATATGGCAGGA